CTTTTCCAATGTAGTTATAAATTTTTGAAGATAATCATAATATCCTTGTTCTTTAAATTTTCCTTCATATCGTTTTTTAATTAATTTTAATCTTTTTTTTTCATATTCTGCCATTAGTACACGATCAACTAATCTGGAACACATATTTTTATTGAATTCGGACTTTTCATAAATTCCAACAATTTCGTTAATCAGTTTTGATATAGCATCAAGTACCGGAATGAATGATGATGCTGCATCGGCAATCTTTGCTACATTTTTAAGCCCTTCTACTACAGCTTCAGACATTTTTTAAATATTCACTTATGTACATATGTAAGTATGAAAAGAAAAAAATCGGTACTGTTATGCGTTATTTGTGTTTGTGTTACTTTTTGTTTTTTTTGTAAGTATGACTTCTTTAATTTTGGCTTGATCATCCTTACGTATACAGTAGTAGAAGTTTGTTTTGATTGGTCAACATTTATGTGATCTACCCGTGATTACCCGTGATAATTAACCAATCAAATTACATCATTTTAGAAAGTTTATCGCTCTAATACTAATAGAAAACGAAAGAAAACTACATATAAAAAAATCTTACAAATTACAAATATATACAAAATATTTTATCATGTATATGTAGAGAATAGTTAGATATGTGTACAGTAGGTAAATATGATATTCATTATGTATGAACTTATTTAAAAATTTATACAATACGTAATATGGGTCTGTGCCTTGAAAATGACCTTATGAGCTATTTTGATTTTATGAATTAAAATCAAAATTTCTAGCTATCCAGTAATCCAATTTAAATAAACTTTTTTATTTTGTAGAGCCAAGTGAGTTAGTTCTACAAACTAAAAAAAAGGTTATTTGAATTGGATTACTGGATAGCTAGAAAATTTAATTTTAATTCATAAAATAAAGATAGCCCGTAAGGTCATTTTCAAGGAACAGGCCCCATATGACTTATAAACCAAAACTTAAAATTTACAGTTAAAAACGATATGAAGGAAAATTTAAAGAACAAGGATATTATGATTATCTTCAAAAATTTATAACTACATTGGAAAAG